CACACAATCAAAGGCTTTTGCATAGTCAATGAAGCAGAAGTAGGTGTTTTTCTGGAACTCTCGTGTTTTCTCCATGATCCAGCAAATGTTGGCAATTTGATCTCTATTTTTTTAATTTTTATTATTGTAAAAACTTACAAATAGCCAATAAAGACTCAACATTTTTTAAAAATATCTTTTAAACTTATTTTAGTTGTTAGTGATTTTATATCAACACTCTACTTTTGGTAAATAAAAGGTAGCTGAGCAAAATTGCTAATGGGCTAAGCAACAGCTGTTCCATTTATGTAAGAATAGCAATTTTCTTCTCCCATCCTTCGTCAGAATACTGACAATTTCTTAGCCTTCATTGTCATGAAAGAAAGTTACCATATGTGAAACTGCCCTCAGTGTGATAAAATTAAGCAGAAACTAGACAGTAAAATCTGTACCAAAATGTATCTTCTGGACTAAGACTCCTGCTACAGCAAACTCAGCTAAATTAGTGCTGAGGAAAATGGAGCAGAAACAGGGACACGGAGAAATAAAAAGCATCAGATGTTCAGAGAAATCCAGCTTTTATGGAAGTACAACAATATCCTTATCTAAAGCATTACAAGAAGTATGCTCTGTAGCCATGGAATATTTAGAGTTGGAAAATAAGGGTGGGCAGATCAAATGCAACATTCTGGCAGACGGCTTGCTGGCTAGAACCCTTAGCAGGAGTCTTAGTCCAGAAGATACACTTTGGTACAGATATGTGCAGTTGGTTGGCCCCTGTGAGAACAGACTGCTGGACTAGATGGGCCAGGGGCCTGATCCAGCACAGCACTGCTTATGTTTTTACATGAATTTATGAGCCATTTTAATCATGCACCTTTTCAAAGACTTAACAGGCAGAAAAAATGAGATACATATTTAATTCCTCCTGTCAGACTATTGGACCAATATAATACATCAGAAGAATTTTGGCACATTTTGTTTTGCAGCCATGAGAGTACTCACCCAGTTTCTATCTGACGTAGTGGAGTGCGTCCACTACGTCAGATAGCTAGCAACTGGAATAAAACTGTTCTGATTGCTAATTATACTGCTGTTGAAGTTCTAAAATAAGAATAAAACAACAACTGAATAAACAACTGAGGTTTAGAGCCCAGAGGCAAAAACCTGTAGAACCGGAATTAATCCCTTTAAGCTGTATTAATAGATTAACACATTTTTTTCTTCCTCTTTAGTGTTTCAGCTATTTTTATTTTTTGTTTTACTCTCATTTTCAATTTCTGCGTTGTTTGTATTGCATTAGGGTATGTTAGATCTGAATGCCAACAACTGTACATTTTTCTATTATGACTGAATACTTAAGGACTACAAGGATTGCACCATTGGATTTACTTTGATTAGTGATGCGGAGGATGCAAAGTATTTGATTTGGATTTGCTGGAATTCTTATGAAAGCTGTTTCTGAACAGGTTCCTTATCTTCCTTGATAGTCACCTCTTTCTTCTAGGACAGGGTCTTCTGCAGGAACTTTTTCACTTTTTTTTAATTTGGTTTAACTCACCAGCTTTTCTTTGTTCTGTTTCTTGTTTCCTGCCAAAGTTGGCAGAAAATAGACCATGGATTACTGTTGAATTTCACCAGCATGATAATGGGGGCCTTTGAGGATAGCATCCAGCCTATAAATGTTCTGAAGTTGTTTCTGTTGTAGAGTTATGCTGTATATCTAGATACTATGGCATAGTATGGACCATGTCTATTTCAGGAAACATAATAAGATTGGAAAGTTTCATACATGTTTAGTTTTTGGCCTCTCCATGTTTGTCAAAGGGAAATTCACACTTAGTAACAGGCATAGTATGCATGTACTTGATTCTTCACGATCTATACAAGTGTAATAAATAATTAAGAGAGGAGAGTGGAATGCTTTTGAATTGAGAGGAATGGGTGTCTGTAGGAGACTACAGCTCTAGTAAGTGGCTGAGAGATGGGTCCGAGCGGTGGGGAACAGATCTGGTCTGCACTGGAGCCGGCTGCCTTACAGCATTTGTTGACATTTCAATCTTTAACTTGGATTTTGTGCTGCAACGTGGAGCTTTTTCATCAGCCATTCTAGTGTATGAGGAGGCAATGCCTCAGCTGTTGGGAGTCAGGTTGCATCAGCTACTGGCAGCTCTGTCTTCCTGGTGGAGCTGATGTGGCTCATCCTGGCAGCAGCTCCAGGATTAGTGGCTGTCAAGGATCGTAATTTGCTTTTGTTGGGGATTTCAGGAATTCAGTGCCTTTTGACATTTCTTCTATTGCTTCTAGTAGAAATCTCCTTCTCCTCTCCAGGTTTTCTTCATGAAAAGTAGGTAACAACACTAGATATTAGAAGCAATATGTTACAAAGGTAATTCTTGGATCCATTGCAGGGTTTCTGTGTTGGATTAATTCTGGCAATCCAGTGCCAGGAAGCTGAAGTTTCATGTGCTTTTTTCTTGCTCTTAATAATATATTGATGCTTGGCTGCAATGAATTTTCAGTTTTTCATCTACGAAGTTTGGGTAAAATGATGCTGAGTCAGCTATGAACATCTTGCTGATTCATATTTTAAATATCTTTTTGGGGGAAAAAACCTAGTTATAATACATAGTGATGTATGGTTACTTTCCTATCAGCCCTGAATTTAGCATTTTTAAAAACGTGAAATGTATTATAACAGCATAAAACTGAATCACTTGGTATTTTATGAAACATAAAAAGTTAATTATCTTGGCTTTATTTAAATGATAATTTAAAAAGTTCCAGGGCGAAAGGGTGGTAACTAACCCCAATGTAACTTAATTTTGGTTGAATGGGAGAATATGAAAAGAAATAAAGTGGAAGCAATTGGAACTTGCCATAGAAGAGAAAAGAAGCATCTTCTTTCAGGGTGTTTCTGGTTCCTGGAAGGCCACATATCCCACTTGCTAAGAATGCTGAGGGCAAGAGGCCTTGTGATTGCTGGAGAAGGAGCATTCTTGGGGCCCTGATTTCTCCTCTCCCTGGTAGAATTGCCCACCACCCCGAAATGCCTGTTGACATGGAACTGCAGAAACAGTCTAGCCCCATCCATTGGCCAAAGGAACAAGAACAGCTCATTGTCATTAACTAGCAAGGAAAGATCCATTTAGCCCAAATGAGATATAAAAATCTGTGATTAGTAGATCACCACTTTGCTCTAACCTTAAAGAACTAGTTTTCCTCTATTTCCTGTTCCCTCCGTTCTTCCTTTGTGTATCTTTAATTTGAAAACTTGATGGCTGACCTCTCCTTTTTGTTGCATTGATGGAAGCCACTTCAAGAGATGAGTGAAAAGCAGGATAACAATGTAATGTTTTCAAAATGTGAAACATCAATGCTGTAATAAAGATTTATAATCTGGTCTTGGTAATAAGGTGGGCATTAGCATTAATATATAGAATAAGCCTGTTTTTAAATAACAGACTAAATATGAAGATCCTTATCATTAGCAATACATTTAGGCAATCCTATATCTTCACTTTAAACTTGGAGTTATATGCGTATCAAATTGGTACCGTAATAATATCCTGTATTGGTCTCATTGGGGCTTTGGGGTTTAAAACATCACAGGTGCTTTCACTTTTAATTTTATGTACATAAAAATATAAAGGTATTTTGGTTCGCTTGGTGAAAAGTATTGGTTCAGTCTGAGTATTTGAGGATGATTTAGTTATCTTCAACTTCTGAAAGTATTTTTCCAATATTAAGTGTGAAGTGTGTAGTTTGTCTAAAACCTTAAATAAAAAATTGTTAGGTCTGTAATTGCTAACCTTACTGAATCTAAGAGCTTTGCAACAATTTAGCTAATGTTAACAATATTATTTTCAAATCTATTTTGAAAAGAATTTCCCATTGTTCTGCAAAAAGAAAATGCTTGTATACGTTTTTTTCATCTTTCCTCCCCATTTCAGTTAGTACAAGGAGAAATCCATGATTTCTTTTGAAAGTGGCATTTTCCCACTATTTTTTTTTTCTAATTACCTGTAGAATTTCTGTTTGATATGCATCGAGAAAATTGGACCATAGAAAATCATATTGGCTTCCCTTTTTTTTCTCCTTGCAGGTGTTCTTGGCTTCACTAAGCTTTTGACAATGCTGTGTCGAGTGGCTCTTCTCCCTTCCCTGCGTTCCTCGGGTCGATTCTGGCAGGTGTCTGATGTGGCTGGATCCCATCCTTGTATGTATGAGAGAGAAAGAGCACTGACAGTGGTGATCCTCCTGTTAATAGGATGCATTTGGGCAGAATTTTAGACCTGGTATCTTAATTTCCAATTTGAGGCTACAGGTGGCAGCACCATTTTTTTTGCTAATGGCCAGGGACAGCTCTGCTGTCTGGTGTCCTGCTGCAACTTTGATCCAGAAAGCAGAAATGTTACTGATTACAAGTGTGGTAGCCTCTTTGAAGTTTAGTCTAGAGGAAAAGTTCATTACTTTGATGAAACTGGAAAATTACTGTAAGTTTTAGCTCCACTCCCTTGTTTGCTTAGTAACTTTTCTCAGGTTCCATAAATACAAATGGATGTAGATCAATGACTACAGGATCATACAGGAAGGAATGGAGAGTTTTACCAGAGTTCTGATTTGCCTTAATGATAATTTAGCCCTTGTTTATCCACTAGCAACTGAAGTATCAGGGAAGGTGAAGGGTTTGTTTATTTTATTTATTAGAAATATATCCTGCCTTTGCAATTAAAAAAGATTCCCACGATTATTTGACAGTCATTGTTTATTAAATATTTGTTTATTAACAATCTTTTAAGATGAGGTAGCTTAATTTTTTAAAAAACAGAGAAAAACATTTAATACTGATAAACACAATATTTACATATATATGTATATGCATACACACACATACACAAAGTGATAAGGTACACTAGCACTCATGCTGTTTGCAGGAGCTTCTGCTTGCTTATAACATGGCCAGAAGCTCCTTGGAACTCCAAAACTTACGGTGATGTAGTAGGGTAGTGGTGATACCTGGCTCTTCTATGGGGCATATTCTCTAGATTTCTTTCATGGCTGCCTTGCAATTATGTTCCTTTGTTTTAGAGAGGTATTAGAATGTTTCACATGTTGATAATAAAGTACATGGAATATTTCTTTTCCCTTATGAATATCTTACTCTTGCCCCAGATGTTACTTGGACAAATGTTTTCTTTGTCAGCTTGAAGCCAAACAGGAAATAGAGAGAGGCCTTCCATCTCAGACTTGGAAAAGGGAGGAGGAATTTGGTATAGGTAAGTCCAGCTGATGCTTTTGCTGTGTTTCAACTGCAGGCTTACTGGCTCCTAACCTGGTGTTGAGAAATAAGTCTGCCCGAGGCTGGAGTAACATACCTTTTATCACAGTACCCCTCAGCCGCACCCATGGCAAGTCTTTTGCACACCGCAGCGAACTAAAGCATGCCAAGAGAATTGTGGTGAAATTAGGGAGCGCTGTTGTCACTCGAGGTGATGAATGTGGCCTAGCCCTGGGGCGATTGGCATCCATCGTTGAGCAGGTAATTCGGCTTAGGTCCTTCATACCTAGCTTATTTATTTATCTTAATTCTAAATTAAACCTCCATAAGCCAGCTAAAGCTGGCAGTGTTGGGGTATAAGGGAGGATGCTGCACAATAGATTAGATTTTTTTTAAATTAATTTTTATTGAAGAATTTTTTTTACAGAATAAAAGCAATACAGATTTAAAGAAAAAGAGAAGTAAAAGTAGAGAAAGGTAAAAGAAAAGTGATCAATAAGAATGATATAAAGAAGTGGCTTCCAATCTTCTTTACAGCAGATATAAATGCATGCATATTTTATCCTCTTTCTCTCTAAGGTTACATTATGGCTCCCTTCTTTTCATATTCTGTCCTTTCTAATCATCAAACCCATAAATCCCAGTTTCCTTTTTTTCTGTTTTCAGCAAAAAATCCATAAAAGGTTTCCAGTCACTAACAAATGTAGTTATTGTCTTTTCTCTAATCAAGCAAGTCTCAATTTTGCCATCTCTGCAAATTCTGTCATTTCACCAACCATTCCTCCATTGTGGGTGTTTCAGAATCTTTCCATCTTTGTGCATATAATCTCGCTGCAGTTACTATATACAAAAACGATCTTCCATATGCTTTTTCTAGTTATCTGTCCATTAGTCCTAGCAAGAAGAGTTCTGATTGAATATTAATCTTTAAAATTCTTTGTATCGCTCTATGTATTCGAACCCAAATTTTTCTACCTTTTTTGCAAGTCCACCAAGCATGATAAAATGACCCTTCATGTTTTCCATGTTTCCAACATAAATCTGAAGTACCCTTATACATGATAGATAGTTTTTCTGGTGTCATATACCAATGGTGTATCGTTTTATAAAAAATCTCTTTTAAATGGTAACATAATGTGAATTTCAATCCTTTCAGCCACATATTTTCTTACTGGTCCATCTATGTTACAACCAAAGTTCTTAGTCCATTTTATTGTACACTCTTTAACTTGTTCTTCCATTTGAAATTCAGTAAAAGCTTATACATTTTAGCAATTACATATTCATCATTTGCACATAATTCAGTTTCAAATTCTGTCTTAATGTTGTTCAATTCCAAATGTCCTTTTGTCTACTTTAATTCTTGCTCTTAACTGTACATATGAAAACCACTGAAAACTAAATCTGTCTGCAGTCAATTGATCTTTTGACTTCTTCTTGTATTTTCCATGCTGTTGTTCTAACAACTCTCGATATGTTAACTATTTCTCCTTGCCTGCTGATTAAATGTTGAGAAATGAGGAGTGCACAGGAGTATGAACATTAAGAGTCCTAAAGAAGAGAGGTGGTATCTTAGAAGTCCTTTGTGGTACATATTAATGGATAAACTAAGCTGTTTGGGGATTATTTCAACCCTTTCAGAGGCCAGTTAGTTGTGGGGATGCTGCATTGTTGTATGTACTATGTAACATAAACCTGATCTTGTTGCTTTGAAGAGTGTTTGCCACTGTGTTGAAAAATGAAGCAAAATAAAAACACAGGGGCTGCTTCTTTTGGGTCCATAGGTGTCAATGCTGCAAAACCAGGGCCGGGAAATGATGATTGTCACCAGTGGGGCAGTGGCGTTTGGGAAGCAACGGCTCCGTCATGAGATCTTGCTTTCACAAAGCGTGAGGCAGGCTCTGCACTCGGGGCAGAACCAGCTCAAAGATATGGTGAGTAACTGGGAAGGGATGCCAAGGTTCTTGGGAATGGTGCAGGTGCTCCCATAGCTGACTGATGTGTTCTCTGATCTTTGTAGGCCATTCCTGTGCTGGAGGCTCGAGCCTGCGCTGCTGCTGGTCAGAGTGGGCTGATGGCACTGTATGAGGCTATGTTCACACAATATAGCATCTGTGCGGCTCAGGTAAAACACACAGTATACATTTCGTGAAGGCTCTGTTGAGCTGCTAGGGCCAATCTTTTGAGCCTTCATTTTTGCAATGGGTTCCTTTGTTCTCTGTTCAAGGAACTTCAGTTCATTCAAGCAATAGTACTGTGACAAACTGGAGAGGGTGGGTCTGCACCTCCAACACCAAAGTAGAACAGGCTGCCAGACCCTCTTTATTATACCCTGCCACTCCTTGTGTGATATATAACTATTACTAAAGCCTGAAGATTTGAGAATCCAGACCTTAGGGTTACTTTTTTAGAGGATGGCAGGCCCCTTTTCAACAGTGTTCATTTTCTTTTGTTAAGATCCCAGTGGGTACGTATACCCAATAGTCAGGCATGTGGTTAAGAGCATTTGCCAGGCTAGGCAATCTACTCCAGTTTCTAATTCAATATATTTATTAAAACAACCCAGCAGAGAGGAATTAGAAATAGTCTCCTGCACTTTAAAACAGAACTGCAAAGGCTTTTAAACTAAACTTATCAGCAACCTTAGTCTATGATTATACCTTGAGGCCAGGTCTCTAGGGTTCTAGAGCAGGGTCTGGCCTTTATTTTATACCAGCTTCTGGAAAACAAAGCAGGTTCACTCAATAGGAAGTTTAGGGATATGGAAGTAGATTACAAGGAGAAAAATGTAAACTTACCAATCAGTGCCTCAGATGACCTTATGAGGTGCCTTCTAGGTGATTCTTGAAATGCCTTCTTATTGTTAAATTGAGTCATAGGAAATTCAGGTGGGCTTTGGTTAGGTGTGCCTGGGCATATCTGGAATATCCTTTAGTTAGAAAAATGGTCTAGCAAATGGGATCCAGACTCCCTTTGATAAGGGACTAGCTCAGGACTTGACAACAGCTTAGTTGCATCCTTATTTCATACACTTGTTCACCAGCATTCAGGTACTGATAATAGTTTTTACAGCAAAATAATGGTAATTTTGTAATCTGCAGTGGATTGTAATACGACGTTTTACTTTTGTTTTGAACATAAGGATAGCCCTACTGAATCAGATCAAGGCCTGTCTTAGTCCAACGTTTTGTTTCTCAGAGTGGCCAACCAGATGGCTCTAGGGTTGGAGACATGCAACTTTCCACTGCCCAGATAACATTGAGTCTTCAACCATTAGCCCTTGATAGACCTGTCCTCCATGATGTAATCTGATCCCCTCTTAAAGCCATGTAAAGGAGTAACCATCATGTCTTGTAAAAATGAATTCCATAGGTTAATTATGCACTGTATGAAAAAAAAATGTTTTGTCTTTTCTAAATCATCTTCCAGTCAACTTAATTGGATGGGCCCTGGTCCTGTTGTTTTGAGAAAGGGAAAAAAACAGTTTCCTGTCCATTTTCTCCATGCCATAGATGGTTTTACACAATTATATCCCCATCCCAGCCCAATCATCTTTTTTCAAACTAAAAAATATTAAACATTTAACCTTTTTGCCTAAGTTTTAGTTGCCCTCTTCTGTATTTTTTCCAGTAATATTATATTATTTTTAGATGCAGCAACCAGAACTGTACACAGTACTTCAAATGCAGACATACCATAGATGTATATACCCCTCTCTCTGAGATTGTAAGGGAAGGTGGTCTGAAGGTACCATTCTGATAGATCCTGGTATGGTACAGTAAGCTCAGACAGTGTATATATAAAGTTAAGGCATTTTTTGACCAATGAACATCGCTTTACACATTGGAAACCACTGAGCTCACAGGTTACTGCTAAATCAAGATAATTTATGAACAAATTAAAAAGTACCAGTTCCAGCTGAGATCCTGGAGGACTCTAATTTTTCTTTCCTTCTGTTGAGATAATTGCCTGTTTATTCCTATTTGCTTTCTATTTTTTTAATAATCATAAAAGGACAAGCCCTCTTATTCCAATGACTTCTAAGTTTACACAAAGAGCCTTTAATGAGGAACATTTTGAAAATTCAAGTATACAGTGTTAACAGGGTCCCCTCTATCCACATGCCTATTGACACTCTCAGAAAACTACAGTATAAAAAGTTATTAAGTCAGGATTTGCTTTTGCAGAATCCATGGTGATTTTCATTTAGCAAGTTTGTTCTTCTATATGGCTAGTTATTTTTTCTTTGATGATCCCTTTTACCAGTATATGAAACAGACATGAGGTTTTTTTGTTTTGTTTTTGGCATGTGTTCATTATTATCACCTTATATTTTTTTCTGACAAACTTTATGCTCCTTTTATTCAGTTTGTTAGAAACAGCCTTTCCATTTGTTGAAGGAAGACACTTTCAATTTTATGGCTTCCTGAACTCTGCTAAAATGCCATGCTGGCCTCTTCCAGGATTTGGTTGACTCTTTCTTACACTGTGGAATACTCTCTATTTGAGCATCAGTTATTGTAATATTTAATAACCTCCAGGCACCATGAAGAAGTTTGGCTCTCCAGACTTTTCCTTTGAGCCTCTTTTTCACCAGTCCCCTCAATTTACAGAAATTCTCCTCTTGTAGTAGAATATGACTGTGTTGGACTCTGCTGACAGTTTCCTGTTTCCAGGTACGCTTTTGGCTTAACTCTTTATATGATTCCTTGTTAAGAATTTGGAAACGTTGATAGTATCTCTCTAACCTTGCCCATCATGCTGAAACTGATGGAAGCTCATTTTTGTCAGAGTAGTTTTTCTCTTTTTTTCAGATTTTGGTTACCAACCTGGATTTCCATGATGAGCAGAAACGTAGAAATTTAAATGGGACTTTGCATGAGCTACTACGGATGAATATTGTTCCTATCATCAATACCAATGATGCTGTGGTTCCTCCCCCCGAGCCTAACAGTGACCTGCAGGGGGTAAACGTGGGTAACATCTTATAGTGGGTGGTTGGTGCATGCTTCTTTGTAGATATGCCAATATGCTCATTAGTCCATGCCTGTTTCAGAAGTGCTTTGGACCTTGTGTGGGCTTAGTCTTTCTCTGCTTTTCATTAAAGCCTATCTTCAAACTTCCATATGAGCTTGTAAAAACAATGCTACTGCTTTAAGAATTACATTAACTTTATGAATAGATTCCTGCAAGCAATGAGAAGTCATTCAGAAGTCTGAAAAAAAGTTAGGCTGCTTTAATGAATGGCAGAGAGTGTTGTGCTCGGATGGTGCCACTTTCAAAGTTGCACATCTTTATTAACTAGTTGAGCTTTGATGCATGCTAACATGGGCTTAGTGCATAGAGCTAGATAGAATATAGCAGGGCTGTTTATCTTACTGCTCATGGAGATAGCAATTTGTTCTCTTTGCTGTGACTTGCCAGGCTGATTGTTGAGTTGATGCTGATTGACTCCTCAGTATGCAAATGCAAATTGCTCTCAGGGCCACTGCTGTGTTTTACATTGCTAGGAATTAATCAGGCAGATAGTAGCTCACCTGGCTAGTTTTACTGACCTTTTTTTATTTGGGTTCTAGGTAATTAGTGTAAAGGACAATGATAGCTTAGCAGCACGGCTAGCTGTGGAAATGAAGACAGATCTGTTGATTGTTCTTTCGGATGTTGAAGGTACAAAAGTTGCTTCATTGCCTGACTAAATTAATAATGTGTTTATGCAATGTCTTGGTTCAGGAAGAGAGTGTCCAGGAAGCTCTCTGGGGTGTTTATTGACACGCATTAGAATTTGCAGTGGGCTGAGGAAAGGGGATTTTATTTGGGGGAGGCAGTTTTGGAATATATTCAGATTGCCCCATATCATACACTCTCAGAAGGAAAGAGGAGTGTTAGCAGCCTCATGAGCCTTTTTGGTTCTGCCCTCCCTCTTGCAGTTGGCTGTTGACTGGATACTTGAAACTAATAATGCCATCAGGGAAGAATCAAAGGTCAGTGGTAGTGCACTAGTTTTAAATGATTGAAAAGTTAATAGTGTTGTATAGCACGTTGAATTAGGTCTCCAAAAAGTACTTTGGAACTTGCAGGGATGCAAATGTAGCACTTGTCTGTAACATCTTAAAGCAGCTAGCTGCATCTTTTCTTGGGATCATGTGACTGCTCATGTTCCTGGGATCATGTGACTGCTTTAAGGTGCAAAGAAGTGTTACACTGGCACTGCCACACACTCCCAAGCCCTTTTTAGAGACAGAATCCAAAGCACTGCACAGCCCTAATACCTGACCCCTCCAGGTTGGGTTGGGAAAGATTCTTATTAGAGGCCTGGAAAGCGACTGCAGAGACAATAGTGAGCTTGAGGGACCAGCAGGCCACTTCCTATCATCAGTCCTTATTACATAAGATTCCAGCTACCTCATTTCTCTTCCGTCTTAGATTTAGCAAGAATACTTGCTAAAGTACTAAAGTAAAGAATACTTGCTAAATCTAAATGAAAATACTTATCTTATGGTTGTCTCTATAGGCTTTGTTACGTTTCTGGGCCCATTTCTGTCCTTTCATTTCAGGACTTTTTGACAGTCCTCCAGGATCAGATGATGCAAAACTCATAGATATATTTTATCCTGGAGACCAGCAGTCTGTGACTTTCGGAACCAAATCTCGAGTGGGGATGGGAGGCATGGAGGCCAAGGTTAGTCAAATTTTCTTTGTGTTGTTTCATTTTATTTTCTTACTGAAGGAAGGAGAATGATACTTAATAGCAGTTTGGAACCTCTGTTGATACTTTTGCATAAATCTCATAATTTCCTGAAATTGAAAGTTTATTTCTGTGCTCTGTTTTTTGTTCATGAAAGAGACTTGAAACCACAAGCTAAATTTATAAGAAGGATCTTCCAGATTACCCACTGTGTTCCAAATGCAGTACTTCGAGGAGAAGCAGGAGTCAGTAAACTTGAATCTAATCTCTGGATAAATATATTTACCTGCTGGTTAAAATTACACCACAACCCTACTGGATTGACCCATCTAATACTGGCAGACAACTTCAAATCTTCTTGGGAAATATCTGTCCAAAAGAAACTGAACCTCTATGGTTTTTCCAGTGATGCCATCTTAACTTTAGAGTCAGATCAAGCTAGTTCAGTATCAAAGCAAAGGATCTTAGACATAGAAGGCCAAACAGAAATTGCTGTTTTTTCTCATAATTGCAAATAACCAAATTTTAACGCCTAAACCAGCCTCATATTTATATCATATCACAGTTCCCAAATTCAGGAGAGCCTTATCTTTAGCTTGATTTAATGCTCTCGCCAGAGCCATTTTGGAAGGGAAATACAGGAAAATGTCATATGAAACCCAGTACGGCCCCTGTGACACAGATGCCATAGAAACCACAGCTCATGTTCTTCTGTATTGTCAGTTCTACAGGGACATTTGTCACCAGTTGATTACCCCCCCCCCCTTTTATTTAAATTTCCGGGGCATTCTGATAAATTTTTATTTGTATTATCTGTTAAACAGCCAAGATAAATTTATTTCTCTAAAAGTAGCAAAATCCTGCTACATTATGTGTAATCTTCACCCACAAATGTTTGCCAACAGTTATCAATCTTAGAGGATAATTTTGCTCTGCTTGTTTTATTGAATATGTTTTTATTGATCAATGGCTGAAATAAAGTTTGTTCTGTCTCTCAAGCTGCCCATATATGTAAATGTGTGTGTGTGTATAGAAATAAGTATAAAATATGCTTTTGGTTTCTGTATCTTGCAGAAAATAATCAGATAGATGACGCATCCTTGGCTTGTGCCAAAAGTTTCTGAAGTAGTTGTTTTCTTAATGTCCATTTCTAAAAATTCACTTGTTACAGGTTAAAGCTGCCCTGTGGGCTCTCCAAGGAGGAACTTCAGTGGTGATTGCTAATGGAACCCATCCCAAGATCTCTGGCCATGTCATCACAGATATTGTAGAGGGGAAAAAAGTTGGCACATTTTTTTCAGAGGTAAAACCTGCAGGTAAGTTGGAGCTGTCATGACTATCATCTGTGAGGAAATAAAAATTGCACTCAAGAATATAACTTTGGGGACACAGTAGGCTCATCTACTCATGGCCAGTGCCTCTAGGTACTTTAAACCACAACTCCTAGAATTTTACCTTCTGGGCTGGTGTTTCTGGAAGTTCTAGTCCAAAAATGATCAGAAAGGCAATTTTAAGTCTTTGAGCTATTTGTTCCTTTGGCCATGAAAGCCAAAAAAACCATGAAAGAACTATCAATGCTAAAAACATTGTGAATAGGTGTCTTGCAGGAGTAAAAAATGGTTTCTTTTGGAATGTTAGCTTGGTATCTATGAATTGGGGAGCATTATGACACTTTCAGAATTTTGATGGGGACACGTTAACCTATTTATTTTTTCATTTTATTTTATATACACAAAAGAAATGAAGGAAGGAGGAAGAAAACAACACACCTCTCATAAATTTATTAAGACATACATAGTAAGCCAAATAAATTAAAGGCATAAAATAAAACCAGAAAAGGCTGCGTAACTAGATCTGGTTAATATCACTTCTGTTCACTGTCCTCTCCATGGATTTTTGTCCTGGCAAACCAATCACATTCAATCCGTATATTGCGTGTTCTTTAAACTTCTCACTCCTTGCTTTTTGAGGATCTGCTCACCTCCATCCAGTTGCTTATTTCTTAATCTCCCCCTTTTCTTAGCGCATTCACTCTTCTTTATATACTTGTTTTCAAGTCCACATCCACATTAATTTACCATCCATTCTCTCTTGACCTTACGTCTTCTTGTTTTTTTCCATGCATACTTCTCAAGTATGCCATTTCAAATATATTCCCCTTACTTTTATGTTATACCTGACATACCCAACTCTCTTACATACAACAAAGTGGGCGGTAGCAGCCCAATCAGATACATCGACATCTTTGCTTCTTGCAGCATTAATTATTCACAACAGCATATGTGAAACCCACAACTTTTCTACCAACATTTGCACACCTTAAAATTTATTCATATATTTTCCCATCTTTAGTAAACATCCTTTTAAGGTATGCAACTCAATATTCTTGCTCTAATTTTTCAGTATTTATGTATAACTTGCAATTTATCACTCCATTTTTCCTGTTAAAACTAACTTGATCTTTAGTGCATTAATTTTGAGATTCATACTCATTGCATCATATACTCTAACACTGGATGCAAATCACTTGGGTTCTCAGCCAATAATATTGCATCATCTGTGTACAGAACTACACACATACTCATATCTTCAATGTGAGTGGTATCCTGAATGTGTTTGAATGCCACATGTACCTTCTAGGTGGTAGGAAACAAACAAGGAATGTTGGTGTGCAAGGTAGTCTCTAGATAAGAGAACCTAGCTTGCATAGAATAGCATGAATGTGCTTGGGGTAAAATTGATTTTAATTATGTCTGGCATATTGACCAAAATGTGGCTGGTATTGTGTTTTTACCATTTATAACAATCTGTTCACTTACACATTCTTAATTATCTGGGAAAGGAGCAGCCATCTCACTGATTCACAAGCTATTAAGAAAAGGGATAGAGGTTAGGGGTAGGGTTAGAGTTGGAGTTATGCTCATGTGGCCCCATTGCTTTGCAAACCTCACTGGTTATCAGTTAGCTTCCAGGTGTAATTCAAGGTGCTGGTTGTCACCTTCAAAGCCCTTCATGGCATAGGGCCTGGCTGTCTGGAAGAACTACCCCTCTCCCCATCGGCTCTGCCCATCCAGTACAATCCAGTGTCCAGGACCCAAGACAGGACCCAGGAAGCATACACACCTTGTTGCAGCACCTGCCTTTGGGAATGACATCCCTTCCAGAGATTCATGTGGCTCCCCCACATATGACATTCAGGAAACTACTAAAAATTTGGTTGTTCTCCCAAGCCCTGGGATAGGCTGGTTATGGAGCCCTCTTTAGTTATATTTAGTTTACAGCTGGGTGTTTTGTTTTGATAATTGGATTTTTATGCTCTCCAACTTATAATGGGTATCAAATATGGTTAAGTTTTTAGAATAGTATCCTTGTAGTACATGGTGACTGGAAATAACACATCGGTATTTACTACATAATGTCCGTCCTTTTGATTTTAAAAGGACCAACGGTAGAACAGCAGGCAGAAATGGCTCGAACAGGAGGCAGAAGTTTGGCAGCACTACAGCCTGAGCAGGTACTTTTCCAGCTGTAATACAAAACATTGTAAAGCCCTCGAATATGCTGTAGGTGTTTGTAGCTCGATAGCACTATCCAAAGATAAGTCTTGCAGAAGTATTAATATGGATTTTTCTCTATACAAAAGTACTTGTATAAGAATATTGCAACTTTCCCCAGTCTGGTTTCCCCAATCTGGTTGTCCTCTCAGATGTTTTGGAGAACACCATCTGTAATTCCCATTCAGCATAGCCATTGGTCATGACGGATAGGAATTATGGAGATGATAGCCCAATACATTTGGAGGGCACAAATTTGCAAAAAGCTGAAATTGGATCCTTTTTATGCACCTCCCATGGAGGATGATATAATGGCGCCTTAAAATGTCTGCTTCTAAGGAAGATTGAAGTTGTAGCAAAGCCCAGGAATCATGCTTTCAGGATGTTTGCAACAGCTGCTCTTCTTTGAGAAAACAGAAGGTAGTGAACTTTTACTTGAGCCCGTGGACCAGGTGGGGTGATATAACAGCCCACATTTGATGTATGGACTAGAGGCTCTCCATTTCTAGCACTGGGTATGTTCTGCATAAATAGTGACCAATGGAACTGGATTCAACTAAATTCAAGCTGTGGAAAGATAGCTTATCAAACTAACTGCAGTGAAATGCCAGATGGCTTCTTGTGTATCTTACTATAGAGAGCTGAGATCATCTATCATCTTGCTGATCTTCTGACAGACCAGAGAGAAGAGATTCTTCAGGCCAACAAAAAGGATTTGGAAGAGGCTGAGAATAAAGGTATTGTAGAAAGGTTCAGGAAGTTTAACATTGTTTATGGGATAGGAATGATTTTTTCACTAATGACAGGGCATTTTTGAGGCTGATTTTTTTTGTTTTCACATCCTGCAGAGATTGATAAAGGGATCTGTAAGCATTCAGAAACATTTGACCAAATTTCTTCAAAACTTGGGAGCCCAAATTCAATTCAATATTCTATTCTATTCTATTCTATTCTATTCTATTCTATTCTATTCTATTCTATTCTATTCTATTCTATTCTATTCTATTCTATT